TCCCTGTATAGGTGGCAGGCCCTCTTTGTTTTGTGCTGCTGTAAGCTGTTGGCCGAGACTGGAGACCTGCAACTATTGGTGGCAAGCATGGTGGCAGGGCAGAATTTCTCCGGCTTTGCCATAAGCAGGGCTATTTTTGGGCAGGAACGCACAGGAACGGAGTTCCGGCTGGCTTCAGAGTTGGCCACGTCCACTACACCCAAAACTTCTGTGTGCGTGGCTACATAGGGAAGGCCTGGAGAGTGACCCCCTCAGTGACTCCGAGGCAGGCAGGCCGGGGGGGGGGGGCCCTGAAAGGATCGGGGAGGCATTTAAATGCCTCCCTGTGCCTTCCCCGGCCTGTCTAAGGGTCGGTTTGTCCGGGCTCCCCACCATATTTTCAAAAGTCATGTCTCATTGGGTCCGGGCACCCAAACAAGCCAAGGGAAGGCACTTGCCCGGGCTCCCCGCAGCCGTGGGTGCCCGGGAAAGCCAAGGGAAGGCATGGGGTGTGGTCTAATATGCTAATGAGCTGTGCTGTCAGGGGTGTGGCCTAATATTCTAATTGGTTTTTTGCTGTTGGGTGTGGCCTATTATGCTAATGAGTTCCTGCTGGGCTTTTTCTACAAATAAAGCCCTGGCCATAAGTGCAAGTGTCTCCAGATGCGGAGGACCGTATTTTCAAAAGTCATGTCTCATTGGGTGTGGGAAACGACGTCAAGTCACAGCTGACTTATGACGACTCTGCGGGGTTTTCAAGGCAAGAGACGTTCAGAGGTGTTTTGCCATTGCCTGCCTCTCGACTTCCTTGGTGGTCTCCCATCCTTCGCCTCCGTGATCTGATGAGATCGGGCTATCCTGGGCTATCCAGGTCAGGGCGATGTTTCATTACAGTATTTTAAAGTGAATTTCATTGATCGATAAGAATTGTTTTGGCTTTTTTTTGGCTATTTTGTGGCAAGACTAATTTATATCATAAGAACATAAGAGACGCCAATGTTGGGTCAGGCCAAAGGCCCATCCAGTCCAACACTCTGTGTCACACAGTGGCCAGAAATACCAGGTGCCATCAGGGGGTCCACCAGTGGGGTCAGGACATTAGAAGCCCTCCTCCCACTGTTGCCCCCCCCCCAAGCACCAAGAAGACAGAGCATCACTTGCCCATCATAGAGCATCAGAACAAGCCTGTTAGTCTTTAAAATGCCACAAGACTTTTTTTTTTGCTGCAGTAAACTAACGCAGCCACACCTTTGAAATTAGATTTGCTGTAACTTGCACTACTATCAAACCTGCTGACTAAACGAATTTTTTTGCTGTACAGTGAATATTTGACCAGTATTTGACAGGCGAGTGGGCCAAATCCCTCTAACCAACCGACAGCCGACCTTCTCTCCCCCTTTTGGGGAAGGCTAGACCAGAAGGTCGGTAGCTTGGCAGTCTGAGACCCTAGTGCCGTGTGACAGAGTAAGCTCCCATCTCTGGCCCCAGCTCCTGCCAGCCTAGCAGTTTGAAAGCAAGAAATTGCAAGTAGATAAATAGGTACCACTTCGATGGGAAGGTAACAGCATTCTGTGCGCCTTGGTATTTAGTCATGCCGGCCACATGACCATGGAGAAGTCTTCGGACAGCGCTAGCGCTTTGGCTTGGAGAGGAGCACTGCCCCCCTAAGAGTCAGATTCGACTGGCTTTCAAGCAAGGGAAACCCCTTTACCTTTTTAACCTTTCACGTTCTCCTTGCAGCTGTGCGTGCAGAAGCTGAGGATTCTCATAGAAGATTCAGACCAGAACTGTGAGTCTGCGGCTTCGTGGAAGTGGGTTTGCAGCGGGGCAGTTCAGCTGGTGGGCAGGACTGCACTCTAAGCAAAGCCCTGTTCCACGGTGGCATTTGCTGTTCAAGATCCTTTCCTTAGCCACTGCAGGTGTTCCATTCCTTACCATAACTAGATTCATGCGTTGTCCACCAGTGTTGAAGTTTCGTTTATTACGGTCGAAGACCAGCAGAACCAGATATACCTAATCAAACAACTAGACATACCAACGGGACAGTCCTGAAAGTTCTGAAAGTATTTATATACCATGAAGAATACAATAAAAATGCAAGAGCTAGAAAATATGGTTCACCAAACCAGCGCTGTACCGCGATAGACTCTGGCGGCTGCACAGAATCTTGCCATTGCGGCCGAGGTTCCGGGCTCAAGGTCAGCTAGAAGGAAGGAGGCGTGCCATTCCTCTGGTCTTCCTGGAATTTTAGGGAGAACAAGTGGAATAAAAGTGCATCTGAGGTCTTCATAAAATGGGCAGCACAACAATACACGCCCAGCTGTTTAAGCTTCCTCATTGGCACAGGGGCCTAAACACGTGAGACTGCGTGAACGGTCACTGTATTGAATATATTTGGGGCTGGATCCGACTGACACTGCTGACTGACCCTGGTCTTCTGTTTTCTTCCCCTCCCCCTAGCAACCCAGGCATCACTGGGGGGGGGTTTGGCCATTTGGGTCAGGGGGCGGCAATGAGAAGGGTAGTCAGGTGAGACTGCCCCTCTTTCTTCACCGCCGCATTTGTAGGATCCAGTCCTTTGAGCTTTGCATGGAGATGCCACGTGAGAAATCTGTGCGAACAGGGCTCAGGGTGATAGTGCTTGTAAAGCAGAAACAGTGGACATCTCTCGCGGAGGAGAGATATTCTTAACTAGTGATGTGGACAGCGGAGAATATAGAACAATTCAAAGAAAGTAATCATCATATATTAGTGAGAGAGGCGAAAAAGAGGTGGCTGTTTGGCAAACGCTTCCTCTTTCCTGGGCAGGAAGGAACTTGGTTATGAAGATACTTCCTAAGGTTTTGTTTATGAACATCCTCTTTTTTATATGGGTGGCTGGCTGAACAGGGCTCAGTCCCTGCAGCAGCAGCAGAGAACGCAAGCAGAAGGAGCAAAAACCCTGAGGTCCAGTTGATGGTTTAATCCTTTCAAACTTCCCGCATTCAGGCAAACCCTTCAGCTTGACTGCCAAGGAGACTCTGTGATGTTTTGACAAACGTCCGGCCCCGTTCTAGAGCATGTTATTGTCTTGGCTGCCCTAGTATGGTTTTTCCCCCTGCCCTTCCTCCATGGAGCTTGGGGCACTCTGCCTTCTGCATTTTATCATCACAAGCCCGTGAGGTTAGATTACGCTGCATGGTTGTGCCATTGGCCCCCATGCTCCACGCAGGAGGCTTTGTGGCAGCCTAGGAATCCGGACCTTCGTCTCCCAGATCGTAGGTTGACATTCTGGCCACTCCACACTGACTCTGCACTGGCTGTCCTTGACCTGGAAGATAACCAGTTCTCCCCTACAGCTGGGCATACCCGGAGGAGGGGGGGATGGCAGACAATCCACTGTTTGGTAGTATTCTGGGAAGCTTTGGAGGAACTGCTGTGGTTTCGCTATGGGCGGATGACCCCCCCCCCCACGGCTGGGCAGCTAAGATAATTTTATATAGAAAAGAATTAAAAGTTGTGAGTTTCCCAGACACAGTGTTTCATGATAAGGCAGCCAGAGTTGCAGATTTGGCAGAATAGATACCCACATAACTGTTTGGCCTCGTTTGGTTCCCAAGGTAAGACATACTGTAAAATATTGTCTGTAATTGTCTCAGAAATATGGGGCAAATTAAAAATCCCGTCACAAGTCCAGGGTTATCCCTGTTATTTTTTATAACGAGCAAATAAAAATCAGTGGGAGAATTTTTTAATGTAAAACAAATTTGGATTTTTGACCTTGGAAGATCTATTTAAGAACAAAAGAGGGCTTCGGTCATAACGAAGTATTAGCACTGACGAGGGGGAGGCACCCATTCCCCTCTCTGTATGTTTAAAGAAGACATATTTAGTGTGTTTGCTTCTTACGTACGTACGGAAATCTGAGGCAAAGGCAGTTTGAAGCAGTCACTGGTAACAGTACTTTAAAAGGGTGAATTGCTCCTATTTATTCAGCACAGTTGAATCCGTAACTTGTTACACTATTTGAAACAAAGAAAATGAAAAGAAGTCTTGAGAGGAGAATAAATATGCTGGCAGCTGCAGAGATATGCATAGCTGTGAACTGGAGAATATGGAGCCACTGCCAAGGTCAGAGCGGGTTAGTAAAATCTGGTGTGACAAATTATCTGATTTGTACCCAGTCTAGAGATCTGCACCGAGCTCAGGCGTTGGACAGTTTTTCTCATTAGCTTAACAGACTGCAGAACCCCCAGTTAGATCTGCTTTAAGACAGACTCTCTGAGCGAGAATGGTCTCTTGAAGCACTCTGAAATGTTCAGCATCGTGTCTTTTGCCAACCAAATAAGCAGAGAACTTCTTTGAGTTAATGATTTCATTTAAAATTAAGCATAACTCTTTTTATTTGGTAAGAACTTGGGAAGTTCAAACAGGTACTAATTAATCCTACCAGCACAGGAAAAAAGGCATGCCACAAAAATCAGGTCTCCTTTTATTTCTCAAACTTAGCTACATACATAAGATTAAGGCAAATCAGGTTTTAGCTGATTGGCAGAATGCTGCCAAAGATTTGGAAGCCCCAGGGCTTTTTTTGTAGAAAAAGTCCAGCAGGAACTCATTAGCATAATAGGCCACACCCAGCAGCAAAACTCATTAGCATATTCAGCCACACCCCTGACTGCACCACTCATTAGCATATTAGGCTGCATTCCCATGTTGCCAGAAGTGTGGTCATCCAGCCACACCCACCTTTTGCTTCTTATTCTGTTGACCTTGTTTGTTGTCAAAACCCAGGGCCTTTTTTTGTAGCAGGAACTCCTTTGCATGTTAGGCCACACACCCCTAATGTAGCCAATCCTAATGCGTTCCTGCTGTTGGGTGTGGCCTATTATGCTAATGAGTTCCTGCTGGGTGTGGCCAACTTGAAAGCCAGCCGGAACTCCGTTCCTGTGCGTTCCTGCCCAAAAATAGCCCTGGGAAGCCCTGTGCACAGATGTCTCATCTAAGATCTTCTGAGCTGGGTCGCCGTGTTGGTCTGAAGCAACAGAACAAAGTTTGAGTCCGGTGGCACCTTTAAGACCCACAAAGTTTAGTTCTGACTATGAGCTTTTGTGTGCATGCCCACGTCATTGAAACAGACTTCACCAACCATTACATATAGGTAGAGAGAGGCCTTCCTGGCAACTAGCCCTCCACCACCTACATGTAATGGTTGAGGATGTCTTGTTTGAGAGCCAGTTTGGTGTAGTGGTTAGGAGCGCAGACTCTAATCTGGGAGAACCGGGTTTGATTCCCCGTTCCTCCACATGCAGCTGCCGGTGTGACCTTGGGTCAGTCATAAGTTCTTTCAGAGCTGTTCTCTCAAGGGCAGTCCTCGAAAGAGCTCTCTCAGCCCGACCTACCTCACGGGGTGTCTGTTGTTGGGAGGGAAAGGGATTGTAAGCCACTCTGAGACTCCTTCGGGTAATGAAGGGCAGGGTATAAATCCAATCTCTTCTTTTCTTCTTGTTTCAATGTATCTGAACAAGTGTGCATGCACACGAAAGCTCATACCCAGAATTAAACTGTGTTGGTCTTAAAGGTGCCACCGGACTCCAACTTTGTTCTAAGATTGTCTGTTCTAGAATCCACCAGCAAAAAGTCTGATGAGCCTCATACGTCACACTTTTTATCCTGAAGGTTACAGAAACAGAATTTAAAAAAAAAAAAAAATCAACGTGATTGTTCTCTAAAAAAAATTGTTCCCCAAAGGGATTATGAAGATAACTTAACAGCTGGACTAAGAATACAACTTGTAGCTCTCACCAAATTCTCAGAGCAAAGTTATGAGGCTAAAAATAGCACCTGTTCACAATTAAAAAGCAATAAATCTCCGTTTTCTTCTGTTATGATAATGAGCTGTCAGGTTGAGAAGCCGTCCTGTCGTTTTCCTGCCGAACCTACCTTTAAGAATACATAATTAAGGTGAACACTTGTGATTAGAGCCATGAATACCTGACCCTGGAAAGTAAGCCTGACGCCTCCGTTAACTTTCTTATGCCTGCTCTGCACTTGTAGAATGGCGGTCTTCCTTTATAAGGTATTCAGATTCTAAATTCCAAGGTGGCGTTTGTCCATATGTTTTTTCAGGATATTGTAAATTGTGTAGAATCCATGCAATTAGCTGTCCTTTGACTCAGGGATCAGTAAATAATGGGTGAGTCTAACCCAGAGGTGTCAGACATAAGGTCCGGGGGGCGGAAGCGGCCCGTCCAGGGCTCTTATGCAGCCCACAAGCAACTAGTGTAAGGGAGGGAACAGGAGAATGTTCGGGGGGGGGGGGACAGGCCACTCCGATTGGGGCTTCAGCACGGTGGAACAGCCTCGTCTGCAGCAGTCAAGCAGCGAGGGAGCGTCTGTCCAGTGCTGCACCACTGGCTCTCCAGTCTGCTCATGTGGGTTTTCCTTGGCACCTCCTTCCCAACCCATGGGGCCTTGCAGTGAGGGCGCACCAACTCGGAGCTTACCAGCTACTGTCCTTTAGACCGTTTATATCTCCAGGACCTGGCATTACGTTTTATGGCACACATGGCCCGGCCGGACAAAGTGACATTTGTCAGTGTCAGAAGTCCCAGTCCCAACCCCAGGTAAGGACTTTTGGTGCAAAACAGAGTGACAAAGTACCAGAGAGAGTCTAAAACTCACAGTAGCCTTGGTAGGTTGCCACCGGGTCTTTCAGTCTATCTCGACAGCCCAGGAGAGAAAGACCAAGCCTCCCGGCTTCTCAGGGAGCTTAACAAGAAAAGTCAGCCCTGCAGAGTGGAACCGCAGTCTTAGTGTCCCAAGACAAAACAGTTAGCTGGTAGGCGGTCAAGGGCCAGGGCTCCTGATCAAGGCTTTGAGGTTTATTGAAGGCAAAACCCACGACCGAGTAAAAATATTAAGTATTTATTTAAGGTGCAAAAATATTTAAAACGAGACTAGACAGTGAATGAATAAAACAAATAAACCTCAGCTTTTCCAGCATGGCTAAACATACAGAAGCAAGGTTCCAGTTACCATTCCAGGTTAACAAGATGTTCGCAACTTTAGCCAGTCCAGGTAGGAATCAAGTGGGATGCCGTTCTGGGAGCTCTTGAACCACTGACGTAATGTTGTGCCAAGTAGTCACAAGCTCCGTGCCATAGTGTGAGGACTAACTAGATTTATAGGAAAAGGGTCTCTGACTGGTCTTAGGCCTCTAGACTAGGGGCGGGCATTCGGTTAGTCCAAACCGAATGCACCCCCGAAAATGGCCCATTCGGACCGCTTTTGGGCTGCTGCGGGCTGATTCAGATTCTCTGTGCCACAGAGAAACCCCAAAAGACCAACCGGGGGGGGGGAGGCCAGTTTCAGCCAATTCCTGCATGCATGTGCAGCCTGCAAGGTTGGTGGTGTTGCTTTGCACACCTTCCTTGCTTGGGAGCGGGGAGAGAGAGTCAAACTCAACCCAACTCTACCCTGGCCAGACCTGCTTCATCCCTGGACTTCTGGTTGCACCATCAATTTACACTTGTTCTGGAGTGTGCCACTTGCTCTTATGGCAAACAAGCACCTCCCAAGACAATTCACTTTCCCTGAGATTCTCTGGGAGAGTCTGACTGCTGGGTGCTGCCTGCTTGCCTGCCTTAAGTGCTGCTGGCTAGGTGTCCCCTTTGGAAACAATGGAGGTAATGGGGGTAAACCTGTTTGGGTGCCCATAGAATTGACCCCACTGGTCCAATTGCTTTGGTACATGGGGATTGTGTGTGGAGAGGTTCCCGAAGCTACCCTGAAAATTTGGAGCCTCTCCCCTCCCCTCACAGAGCCACTAACAGCATTGTGGGGGAAAAGTAACTTTCTTTCCCACCATAGAGAACAATGGAGGGGATGGGGCAACCTGTTTGGGGGCCCATAGAATTGGACCCCCTGGTCCAATGTTCTTGAAACATGGTGGGTATCTTGGGGAGAGGCTCCAGCAGCTACGCTGCGAGTTTGGAGCCTCTCCCATAAACCTCCCTTCCTCCAGCCCCCAGAATATACCCTTTGTTTTCACCATTGACTTCAATGGCCCATAGGATATAATGGAGCTGAAATTGACATTCGGCTGGCCAAAAGACTTTGGAATCCGCTTGTACTGACGAAACTGACATGCGGGAGTCTTACTGCCGGCTAAAATTGATTCTGCCCAATTGGGCCGAATCCGAATTGGCCGATTTTTTTTTGCACACCCCTACTCGAGACCAACAAAGATACCCAAGAGGTGATGTAACTCTCTGAGTAGCTAGGCACATGACATCCGCGGATGGACAAGAGCAAGAGGAAGAGA